TATTTTATCCATCCTTTTACTTTTTCTCAAACAGCTACTAAATATTATCTTTTTATACATTAATATAGCGATTAACAAATTTTTTTTACAAATTTGAGCCACCTTTTTTTCAAGGCCATTTTTCATCAACTTTTCAGTTTATGGAAGTTGAAGAATTAGAGAGACACTAACAGGGTTCTGAAGCACAGAGAGCTCATAGTATAATTTCCTCAGAAGTGAGATTTAATTGGAGGCCCTCTTGCTATGTGTATGTAGATCACTGAAGCACCCTGAAGATTTTATCCCATTCTTTCACCCAGTAACTAACTGAATGCTGCAATCTCTTCCCTGTCCTCATCCCACAGTCCTGGGTGAATTAAAAGTAAATTAAGTAGCAGTAACTTTGGGGTGGAGGAGGTAGCCCTCAACAGACCAAAACTGTGTTCTGCTGCTCTTCTGAAGCATGTACCCATTTAGCTAATCAAATTGCATATCTGTAGGCAAGTCATATGCGTAGTGATAGTTGGTTGCTTTTGCTTCCATTTTTTTTTTAATTGTGATAATGTTGTATCTCACAATTTAGAAACCTTCAGTAAGAGTTTCTACTTTGCATGACTGCTGAGTTTCATGTGGAGAGTAAGATAATGCTGTAAAATTGAAAGTGACCTGATACTGTCCTGTCAATTCTTAGTGTAGTATATTACACATTTTCAGGAAAACAGTGGTTGTAATCCTAGAGCAAAAATAATATAGGTTTCTTGGAGTAACAATCGTTTATTTCCAGTCAGAAATCCTTTCAGAACATTTGAAATGGTACGTTTCAGTAGGCTTTCTAACCTCGTTGACAGTAAACTGCACATTGCATTTCAACTTTGGGAGGCATCTTTCAACGAAATCTTTCTATTCTACAGATGAGAAAACTAAAACTTAAAAGTATTAAATGACTTTCCTGTGGTTATAAAAATGATATATGATGGGGTAAACCTATACCTAGGAAAGAATATAGTATCTTATCCCATGCTCTGTGGTAACAGTATTTTTGTATCTTACTTAGTAGCATATTTCATATACTTTTAAAAACTATCGTACCATTAGACTGCCTTGCCCAGATTCAGGTTCATTGTAGGTTCTTAATAAACTAATAAAGTGTTAGTTTTCCTAGTTTTAGGTGTTTATAAGTTTTAAGACATCCAAAATTACAAAACTCTATGGGTATAGGGAAAGAGATGATGGAGGCAAGCACAGAATCCTACGTGCATTATGCACACGTGATTTTATTCTCACCACTGTACTGGGACTGTCCCTCATTGACAGGGGAGAATCTCTGTTTCAAACCTTATAGCCTTCAGATCTGAGCTTTAATCCATAAAACACTTCCTTACAGAATTTTACTTTCATTTTCATGATTCACAACTTTTAAATGTCCTCTTTTCTATGATACCATTTTCTATGATAAATCACCTCTTACAATTAGCATTTCCTAGTTGTTTTATATATTCCAGAATTATTGTCACCTAAAACTACTACCTATCTAAATGGTGGCTGTTTTTTTAATGAAAATGCTCAATTTTACCCACTTTTGGGATTAATTGACTAGCATATGGACCTTTACCAACAGACTTTTCATTAGCCCCTAGGTATAAACTTGAGTCATTATTTTTCCTATCTCCTTTTAATTAAGCAAAAGCTTCTTTTAGCATTCAGTCATGAGTTTAGCCTCCTTTTTTGTTCAGGATGCATGGCAGTTACATTATTTAAGTCTGATTTGTCTAAAATATTTTCCTGGTTGCTTACAACATTTTCATTTACTTTGACTGTTAACTCTTAACAAGTTCTTTCACATCTGTTCTTATAACCTCTTTCACTTTCTTTTCTTTTTACTTTTTCTAAAGAATTTTTCTCACTAGAACCTTCTTTCTGTTAGTCTATGTCATGTTAGCTACTCAATAACGTGAATGCTTATTTTTTAGAAATGTAATTTTCCCCTGAATTGTGCGTGTTGATACTTGCTTTTTCTAACATGGGTTATATCTGGCACAATACTGAAATATTCTTTTTCTAGTCCTTACTGACAAAGATATACAGGTAAATTTATCTACTAGCAGCTTCCATCTGTGAGTTCTTTTACTTTGATTTCCTTATCTTTGGTCTTTCTTCATATAATTTTTACTCCTAATAAAATTATTTATTTTATCAGATTCAAGCTCTTGGTGTTTACTTACTCCCCTTTTCTACTAATCCTCTATCGAGAAAAATAAATGTGTCAGATCTCCCTTTTTGGAGCAGAATTAACCCTATGGCAGGCAGTGTAAGAATTAACGACAGAGCTTTTCACCTGCTTGGCTGCTTCTGAGGGATTTGAAAATATTCTGAGTGGTGTGATCTCCCAGAGACCCAAGCATTCAGTTGCCTCCTACATTAGCCTTCTCTGTTAGACATAAATATAGGAAACTTCTCATAATTTGCTTTTTCACTCTTCCATTCACTCATTTACTCAAAAATTATTTGTTGATTACATTCTACATCCTCTGTGCACACTGTACTCAATGCTAGGATACACAGGAAGAAATGTGGAGAATTGGTCACTGCCAGTAGGGCTCCTAGACGGCCCTATGGATAATACCTCATTGACAGGAAGTGATGAAACCATCATATCACACATGGGCGTAGATTGTGAGCTTTCTGGAAGCAGCAACTGTTTTATTCTCTGTATCCTCAGTTACTAGTGGGGGACAGCATAGAGTAGGACAGTAGCAAAGAAATGTAGGAATGGACATCATCAGTTAAATGGAATAGAAAGAAGGTTCTAATGACAGAAAACTGGGGAAAGAAATCGCACCTGGAGTTACTAGAACATTGCTACTGTTAAGAGCATAGCAGCTCATTCTTTAGAGACTGGACCACTAGATCTTTTCCTATTATCTTCTTCTATGTAGAAAATTGATATTCTGCAGGCTATGAGCTGTCACCAAACTAGTGACCAAGTGACAAAATAGTGGGACAATGATAGCACATAAGTGAGGAAATTTCTTAAATGCCTCCAAAATGTACAGGTACTGTTCAGGATGAAACAGATAACCATAGGAATTCCTTACTCATTTTAGCCCCTTTTCTGCTTACCCACGGTGATAGCAATCAAAAGACTTCTACAAATGGAGAAAGCATTAACTGTAATTATCAAGGCATCAGAAATATTGTAATGAATTTGGAAACGTTATTAGTTGAAGCTTAAGCTTTTTTCTGTTAGTGAAAATCAATATAAAAATGATACTCAATAATAAAATGGAAAGGAAGCCTTTATATTCATCTAGAATTGTTGCCAGTTCTTTTATTCTTTTGAGCAGCCATACATTTAAAAGTCAAATAAAAAAAGAAATTTTGTAAAGAATTCAAATTGAAGACCAGTTGTAAAAACAAAAAAGAGCCAGCATCTTCTCATTGTGTTTTGATAAAGACTAGGAGCATCAACAATTCAGTCCTGAACTGTTGATCATACTCCTGGTCTCCAGCCCTCCCTGAACACTCAGTCCTCCTGAAGAGGGCTGAACGGCGGGCCTGGCCTGGCTCCTGCATGTGGGTGCTGGGGCGCTCTTTCATGGTCTCATACTGCATGACGTGCTTCCAACAGGCATCTGGGCTCCTTCGCACCTGTAGTCATCACTAGCTACAGGGTTTCTGTTTAATAGCATGCTTAATGAGATCTGTGTTCGGCTGTGGAGAGGATGCTAAGGTATTTTTCTTCATTTGTCTAAAAATAACATAAATGTATCGTGTTTCTATCCTGTAACTTACTTTGACGAAATATCTTTCAAATGTTTTTTGTGTCGTTTTGGAGGCAATATCTAGGTGGTTCGAAGTTCTAAGTAAATCCAGGAAACACCTATATGTTGCTTTCCTTTTTATGTTTTGGTGTACCTATCTTGCAAATGCAGTGAAAATGGGGAAGATGGTGTAATCGTCTAAGAGTCTGTACACTATATGTATCTTTGTATGTGAGGACAACAAAGACACTGTCGTGTTGTTTAATTTTTCCTCCTTGAGAAAGTGTCTAAGAAATTCTCACAAGTGTTGTAACTAACACAGAGATGATAACTGACAGCAAGTTGGCTTGGGACACATGCCCATTTGAGAAGAAGCAGCTGCAAAGTTCAGACAAACACTTTCCTTTGCTACACTTAGCCAAACTGAGTTACTTTAGATTGTAGTTCTCTGTCATGAATAATTAGCAGATAAGGAGCAAATATAATAGAGATGGTTTTCTATTTCTATATTATGATGTTCCACATTCTTTCCAGTACCCCTCCCTCTTTGAATCAGTGAGAATGTGGCAGAGGCATTTTTATCTTAAAAATGCAAACATGTATTTTTAATCACAAAATTTGTGCTACCCAAAAACATTAAGTTGTTCTGCTTTTCTCCTCTTTTAAAATGTAAGCAGATAATAAGTTTGCATCCTGGATAAGATTGGGATGCTTTTTCACAGATTTGACCTTGGGAGTGACCTTTGAAAAAAAATTTTTTTAAGTCATAGGATTACATTAAAGTGAACTGGACAAGACAAAATTTTGAAACATCAAGTTGAATTAATTTAGAAAAACCATAATGTGGTCTTTCTAATCTACCTTTGCATTTTTTTACACACATGAATTACTCAGGAAATACATACAAGAAAGCAGAAGACTTTGTATTTATAATAAAAGGAAATAGTATTTTTATGTAATTTTTCTGATTTCTTTAGATTTCAGTTTGACATATTAGTTTGTAGTTCAGATTTAAAATCCGCATTGTCAACAAAAGTTAGGATCATTTAGCAACAGGTGAAAATTGTGCAAAAATTAAAACAACATAACAGAAATGACACTAGTATAGAGTAATTGAAAACAAATGTTTTACTACCATGTGCTTAAATAGAAAGGAGATATTTTCAGAGCAAAACACACAGGAAAGTCATTAACTTCCCAAAGTGTGTTTATCTGCAAGAATATTTCAACTCGTTTCTAATCTTCTCTTCTAATTTGTAGCTTCCTGGTTAGTTTTATGGTGGATGCCCGAGGGGGTGCTATGCGAGGGTGCAGACACAATGGGCTTCGAATCATTATCCCACCTCGGAAATGCACAGCACCCACACGAGTCACCTGCCGACTGGTCAAACGCCATCGACTGGCGACAATGCCCCCAATGGTGGAAGGAGAAGGCCTCGCCAGTCGCCTGATCGAAGTCGGACCTTCTGGTGCTCAGTTCCTTGGGTAAGGGTCTCTGATAAGCTTCACCCTTAGTCCCCGCTGAGCTTGTGTCCTCTACATGAGATTTCTAGCATGGAATAGAAAAAGGTAAGTGAAACACTTTTGAAGGAAGATTGGTGCCTATGAAATCTTTAAAGTTTGCAAATAATCAATAATCAAATTTGCAAAGTTGGCCCACTTTCATGCCTCTTCTACTAAGGCATAAGTGAGTTAAACATTCAGGTTATTATTCTTTCTCTTGAATGTGGAAGTAGATACCAGACTCCCAGTATGAATCCCAAGTATGCCATGGTAGGTATTTTTTTGCTCATCTCAGACTTAACTGGCAAAATATAAAGAAAACAATTACTGCTCTATTCTAAACATAAATTTCAAGTCCCATGTAATTAGGAAACAGGATCATTCTCTTCATTCTGGAAGCAATGTTGCCTTTTGGGATATTTACAGATTTAGTCTGTGTGATTTGTTTTCTCTGTTATCAAAATTGCTAGCTTGAGCCTTAATGTTACATGGCTATTTAATTATAATTCATTTCAAGACAAAAACATCAAGACCAACTTCTGCCAGGCTCATTTTGACAATTTTGAGCAGAAATTAGCATTTCTTCTTTCTTCTGTTTGTTTGTACGGCTGTTGTTCTGTGAGGCAGCATCTCCGTGTGCCAAGACGTGAATTGCTGCCACTAGAACGGATAAAAGGTTGAAGCTTTGGAGGCGGACAAGTTTCAAAACATTTTGAAACAAATCAATTGTATTTAAGTCTTTGTCATACGAAGTCTTGAAAATCTGGGAGAAAATCTTATTGTGAACTCTTCCACGCTGTCATACTGTGGAGACGGTTTCTCACTTTAGAACTCAGGAAATGTTCTAAAGCCTGTAATTTAGAGCATACGGTTAGCAGGTTGCTCCAAATTACTCTCACACCCGAAAAGGGGTGTGGCGGTATCTCCCAATTATAGAAACCACCTCTCAGTGTCCTGCTCTCAGGCAGCTCAGAGCTTTAGAAGGAGCCTGTGAAGTTCTGGGTTCATCAGAAAATGCCTTTATGGGTGAAGGAATCCCTAATCATCCCTGTCATGTTCTGTATCTGACGCTTTGCCCTCCTGCTCAGGTAGTTCTAGGCTTTTTGATGATCTTCCAATCTGTTGGGAATATCCATAAAAATCTCTGGCCTCTGGACAAAGCAGAGTTTTTATTGCATTCCCAAGAGTTTTAGCTTTCCTGTGGAGCATTTCTCTCTGTCTTTTTTGGCCAGTGCCCTGGCGGTGAACCTAAGTAGGGCCAGCCTCTCTAGCCCATGCCCTCCTCGCACAGATGGCCTCCATTGTACACTCTGGGTGTCGGCTCCTTGCTCTTTGTGACCAATGGAGGGGACAGAACCAGACGCAGTGTGAACCCAGGGTTCACCCTGTGGCTCAGCTGGTGATGCTGGGGTTCTGTGGTGAACAACACCTGAAGCTTACTTATGTTCTTTCTTTCACTGCTGCTTTGGATATACTCAGTAAACTTCACCTGCCAACGGCTCCTCCCCCACTTAATGAGGGAGAAAGTTTGGTCAGCCGCATCCTTCAGCTGGGGCCTCCTGGAACCAAATTCCTTGGGTAGGAGTGACTTAAAGCAAATTGATGGCTGCTGGGCCCCCATTCTTCTCCTTCTTCTGCGATATGATTTCTCTTTTTTTTGTCATTGTTCCCATGACATGTCCCTCTCTATGATTTAAACTCTGTATGACCTATCTTTAGTGGACCATTTCTGACCCGTGTGGTATGTGACTTTTATTTTGGAGTGATGTTTTTATATCTTTTCCCTTCAAGTGCTGTGACCTTCATTTTTGTTTAAAGCATGAGATCTGCCTAGTTGTCCTATGTGCTAGTTACGATGTTGTTAAGTTTGGAGTCTGTATCAAAGCAACCTGGACTCAAAATATCAAAAGCCTCTCTATATTCTGAGGATGAATGTGACCTAAAAATTGTAGGAGGGTGCATGTTCTGGGTCCTCAGTATGATAGGCATTGGGCACAGCTCGTCTGTCCCCTGAAGGGCTCATTGAGGGCCAGACTGTGTCCACATGCCTATTGTTTCCTTGGATGGAGAAAATAAAAGCAAAACCCACGAGTGCATGGCTCATTAGCTCAAGTGGTCTCCCTTCCTCCCATCTCCTCATTTATGACACATTGAAACTTGCAACCTACAAGCCATTCTCCGTCTTAAGCCATTTTGTCATTCTACACCTTGTAGAAGATGTGTTTAGGAGACTGGCATATGTCACTGATATGCATGCACATTTCTTTTGGTTAAATATGTTAATCTTACATTTATCAAAGGAGAAGTTCCAGAATGCCACATGCACTCACAGGGAAACGTCATTTGGCTTAAGGTAGCAGCATGTACCAGAGGGCCAGTGCCCCTGAGGTGAAGTGCTGCTGTGTGACCATCTGTTAGCCCGTGAGCCCCAGAGGACCCCTCCACTGAGTCCCTGCCCCCAGAAAGAGCAGAATTCCAGGTCACTTTGCAACAGACAGAGTGGAGGTGCTTGTCGTCCGCGGGTCAGCGCTCGTCCACACTTAAGTGTTCTGCGTTGCTGTGTCAGGCCTGTCATCGTGGAGATCCCTCACTTCGCGGCCCTCCGAGGAAAGGAAAGGGAGCTGGTGGTCCTGCGCAGTGAGAATGGGGACAGCTGGAAGGAGCACTTCTGTGAATACACTGAGGATGAGCTGAACGAAATCCTGAACGGCATGGATGAAGGTACCTTCCAATTAAGAGTTTCAGAAGAAATGTAGAGTGGAAGCATGGAAATGATAACTGCATTTCTTTCTTATGATGTAGAATGTATGCATGTGCATGGGTGTGTGTGTGCATGCGTGTGTGTGTGTGTGTGTGTGTGTGTGTGTGTATCCTTTGTATTTTACCACGTTGGGATACCTGCTGTGTTCTAGTGGTGGTGACTCGGAATGTACAGTGCATTTACCTGATCTTACTCCTATTGCACTCAGAAGAAAAATAAAATCCCTTGAGACAGCAAGCATACTATTGCCAGCTAAGTCTTATTTTTGGGAAAACACAGTGATTATAAAAAATACATTTCCAAATGTACAAACTTAAACAAATCTGGCTTTTTGGCTTGAAGTATGAACCCATTAAAAGCTAAAACTAGTCATAGAATTGATATTGTTGCTGTGTCACAGGATGAAGTGACACTGGAAAATAAAATATAGTTTTTAAAAAGGTCTATCTTGAAATACTAAATTTTTGAGATATTGATAAAAAGTGCTAATCTATTCTGTTGTACTACCCATCACTAGTGATGGGATAATATTTTATTTTATCTATTATTAAGGAGGTAGAAATCGATTCAGTCTGCTGTCTATAATTCAGACAGGGTTGAGATGCATACATACACATAGATACTAATTTGAGTTTTTATTAGAACTTTGACTACTATGAATCTCTAATGTATCTTGGGTCAATAAACCACAGGTTAGAAGATCCCTCTTCCAAGGGGAAGTGGCTCATTTTTAGGTCCCCAGAGGGTGCATAGAATAAAGTCCCAGTCCCACTGCAAGACACATTCTGTTTTGAGGAACTCCAACAACTAGGGCAAGTTCTTTGTCTGAGTGCCAAGATAAACCAAGTTGTATGAAGAGCGGGACACCTACATGGTAATAGGTGTGGCTTTTAGTGAGTTTATCAGTCTGCCTATAGAGACGGGTGTCATCTCAGGGGTGGATCAAGGATGGAGGCGAGCAAGCTGCCCTCATCTCCTTTCATATTTCTTACTGCACCTTACAAATAGGGAGAGAACAGGCTTACCTTAGCTCCATGGTGAATGAGGAAAAATTATGCCCTCTATTAAATAAATATGAAAGCAAGACAGAAATGTCAGAATTCTTATGTCAGTGGCAAAGCTTGCTCCCTGCAGCACTTCTTGGGACCATTTCTCTTGGTAGCCCTTAGCTTTAGGACATCTCCTGCTGAGAAGTGTGCCTGCTCTCAACACTGCCATGAGTACTGCCTCTTGCCTTTTGGACGGGGACTCACTCTTTTTAGTTACATATGTAAAAAGTTCACTTTAAAGCCAAAAAAACCAGATTTGTTTAAGTTTGTACATTTGGAAATTTATATTTTGTAATCACTGTGTTTTCCCAAAAATAAGACTTAGCTGGAAAATGATCAACCTTGCAAGCTAGAGTTCAGAAGTGCCAGCCCCAATCGGCCTAACCTTCTCTTCTCTGCCTTACAGAAGAGCCACTGAGCAAGAGAATAGTGACAGGCAGGGCAAGGATAAACTGACTGGGCAGGCATTTTTATTTCTAGTTTTAAGGCTCATTTTTATATTTTCCATTTAGGTCTTATTTGGGAGGGAAAGAAGGTATATGCTAATATTTGTCAGTACATGAATCTTTAATTATGTACATTCAAATTTGGGGGCTTTCACCTTTTACTATCCTGGTATACCCAGCATTCAATAAGAACAGAGTTAGCATGTCTGCCTTTGTGATGAATTGTGAATGATTTCTAAAAATGACGACTTTCCATAATCCTTTATAATTCAGTGAACAACTTAGTTCACATATTCCACATTTGAAAGCAGTGTGATTTTTTTATATTGTACTAAATAGCCATATCAGTGCAATTTATAAAGCACCCATGAGCTTGTCCTCCTGATGTTAGAGGGTAGACTTGCTAAGTCACTGGCATTGGAGGAATACTGGAGCCGGGAAATAATAATCACCAGTCTTATTTTATGTCCACAGTGATTATCACGGAGACAGCCATCTCACTGGAATAAACAGGAACCTTACTTATCCTTTCAAGACAGATTTTATTCTTGCATTACTCCCTGGAGAGTAGTATTATTTCTTAAAACCACAATCCCTAGTCTTAGGCTAAATGAAACTTGCAAAAAAAAGTTCATGCACAACTTCCTTTGTGAACCAAGAATTTAGCAGATCCATTTTCCTTCCCTGTTTGCTCTCATGCAACCTGATTTACGAAGGTGGCCCTAAAGCATCACATTTGGCAGGAGATGCCTTTATTTTGCAATGGCATGAAGAACTCCTAGTTTTCATAAAGAAAGAAAAAAAGTGCATAAATAGGATATTGATGGGTTTTGAAAGATTGCAGAGTTTATATTTGTCTGGTATTATAATAGCCTTGCCTTTTATATTTTCCCATTAAAAAATAGGAGCTGTGTTGCAGCGTATTAACGTTGCTAAAGAATCAGGTAGACTCCTTCCTGAAGAAAGTTCTTGCTATATAAAGATGGGTCTTATTTTTCTCTTAGTGCTGGACAGCCCAGAAGACCTTGAAAAGAAGCGAATATGTCGTATCATCACCCGCGACTTCCCACAGTACTTTGCGGTGGTGTCACGCATCAAACAGGACAGCAACCTGATTGGCCCAGAGGGAGGTGTGCTGAGCAGTACCGTGGTCCCCCAAGTGCAGGCCGTCTTCCCAGAGGGTGCACTGACCAAGCGGATCCGTGTTGGCCTGCAGGTATGCCTATGTTAGGTGCCTATAACCCTCACATGGTTTGTATGCTAGAGATTAAAAATCGTCTCTGCAAACGAAAACCAAAATGTCAAAGAGAAATGATCTCCTGGATAAACAGAAGTTACCATTTCATTGGCGAACACTGGTCCAACAGTACTAAACTTATGATTGTCATATTTGACTCCATCAGAATAATTTGTGAGATAAAATGTAAATCTCTGTGTAAGACATTGATGTTAAGTCAAAGAATAGAGCTTAACATTTTTCTCTGCTTTGTCAAGGCTCAACCTATGCACAGTGAGCTGGTGAAGAAGATTCTAGGCAACAAAGCTACCTTCAGTCCTATAGTCACTTTGGAACCTAGAAGAAGAAAATTCCACAAGCCAATTACTATGACCATTCCTGTCCCCAAAGCTTCAAGTGAGGTCATGTTGAATGGCTTTGGGGGAGATGCACCAACCTTAAGACTGCTGTGCAGCATAACGGGTGAGCCACGTGTGTGACTCTGTGAGCAGAAACCTCTGGAAGAAGAAATGTAGATGATTGCAAAAGTCAAGTTATTTAAAATTAAATTATTTATTGCAAAAATCAGATTAAGATAAATGCTGAAATTTATAAATCAATTCAGGAAGAGTAATTTTTAACTTACTAGGGAAATGAAAACTGAAAGGAAAAATATTTTTGAAATGAACTATGTATATCAAAGTATTAGATATACATAGTATATCTAATACTAATCTAATATTAGATATACATATATATTATCATTTAAATCTTTACAATATCCTTACAAGGAAACTTCAGTACTAGTGATAAAAAGGAAACCAAGATTAAAAGAAATTCTATAACTTGCCTGAGTTATACTAAACATATTTGCTGAATTGGTATTCAAACCCATGCCCAACACACTGTTAAAGTCTAGGCCTTAACTTTTCATTGAGAACCTCATGGTATATCACCTTAAATTAGTATACTCAATAGTGTAAACTGTTCTGTCTAGGATCAGTGATCTGTTGGAAACAGAAAGTAAAAATTTTTAATGATTAACTGATTTTTGGTCTTTTCAGTTGATCTTTATGGTAGCTTTCAGGCAACTACCAAGCTCTCAAAAGGCATTCCCAAACATTGGCTGTCTCCTCATAACAATACTACTAAACTGGTGAGAGGGAAAAAAATTCATACGAATAACCTATTTTAAGACCACCTAATTTGATATTTTCCCCCATTTTAATTATGATTATATGGTAATGGCATTCAGTAAATATTAATACCATCTTTAATAGGAACAGTAACCATTCCTGGTTAATTTTAATATTATTCAAATTTTTTTCAGTTCTTTAGATTGGCAGAAATGTTCAACCTTATTTTGTTTTTCTTCATTAACTCTTCTTTCTTATTAATATGTTTTTCATATTTGTGATGGAGAACTATCAAGATTATCCCATAAGTTTAATAAGATAGCAAAGTTAATAGAATATCATGTCCGCATCTTGTACAGCAATTAACCACTAGGAGGAATGTATGCAATGTGTTAATTATTGAAATTGTCCTACTAATTTGATTTGAAACTCTCTCATTGCTATTTGTTTCTCAATAAAATTATGAAAAAAAAATAAAATAGCAAAGTTTTAGGATATTCAGCCTGTGATGGATGTAGGGAGCATCATTGCTCAACCTCTGTCTCTGTCGCAGTTCTCATCTTTATGGCTGATATTCCTGGTCTGTCCCATGACTTTGCTCCACGGATATGTAGTTAACCCTTCCCCAATGTGCTATCTGGTGTCCTAGACACAAACCCTGTGAGACTTCAGATGTCCACGCCAGGTCCTGCTCTCATGTTGCTGAGATGAAGACACTGTATGGGCCTGGCCACCACTAAATCTGTTTCTTCCAGGGTTATATCTCATATGGGCTTTTCCTACATAATTCCTTACTAAAAATTAAAGTTAATTAAAATTATTTTTAAATAATTAAAATAAATAACTTATGTGTTAATTTTAATAGGTAGGGGCTTATATTTTTGTTTTGCTGTATGCAGTTCTACAAATAACACAGATTTTAAAAATCAACTTGATACCTTTCATAAGCTTTCTTTGCCTCATCTCAGCATATATTTCTCCCACTGCACTTTGGCTATTTGTCTCTATGTTTATAAAAATGATAAAACTGTAGTTTTGTTTGTCTGTTATTTCTGTTTGTCTCTTAATTCTTCAAAAGTGATTCTTTAAAACTCTTTAAAAATAGAAATAAGGCAGGTCATCATCAGCCTTTCTGGCAATTTTTCTATGTGCAAAGGGATTTTTTGCTAATCATTTATTTGTTCATTCACCCTGAACTTTTAGTACTTGTCAAATCTTTCAGTTTTGCCAGCCCTCATTGTAAATTGAGAAATTTCATGTTTTGAAAACAGTTGCATAAAATATGAAGTCCAAGAACAAGAGAGTATTTGTTTGTTTTGGTTTTTGGTTTTTTTTTTTTTTTTTCCTTTGAGGATATCAATAGATTGCTCACAAAAAAAAAAAGAAAGAAATTCAAAGGCCAATGGAAACACAGCACATCCACTCTCAAACTCATTCCTCAATAATCTAGGAAGTACAAATAATAAAACTTTAAAATTATTTCAAACACATCAGATTGGCTAAACTATAAGTCAGTCAACATCAAGTGTTGGCATTAAAACAACTGTAAATATCATATACTCAGGGTGTCAGTGACTAACAACTTCTGAAAATTATGCAGTATTAAATGAAGCTGATGAGGCATATGCGTGTGACTTACTTTCCATTTCTAGGTTCATAGCTAGAGAAACACTCACTTCTATGCAGCAGCACAAATGACCACAGTATTGTTTGGAATGGTGACAAAATTTAAAACAACGCACATGCATCAATAAGAGAATGACTACATACACTGTGGTATATTTGTACAATGAAGTATTATGGTAAAAGTTAAAATTAAGTTTTTTGTTTTTTTTTTTTTTTCCGGAACCGGGGATTGAACTCAGATCTTTGCGCTTGCCAGGCAAGCGCTTATTCTACTGAGCCACCTCCCCATCCCCAAAATTAAGTTTTTCTACAATAATTAAATATCAAAGTATATGTAAACATATAATGTTGAGTAAAAGTTATGAAATGATAGCCAATATGATATTATAGGTATATAAAACTTACAAGATGGATAAGATAATTGTACTATTTATTTCTATTATTACAAGAGAGTATTTGGATGGCTGGTCATGTCAATGAAGTACTCAGCTTCTTGGTTGATCCAGGAATCTTCTAAAATAACCAAATAGTTGCAATTCGGAATTATTTTTAAAGCTTAGCAATTGCAACAAGTACTTCACAATGTCAAGCATGCAAACACTTAGTAGAGTTATTCAAATAACTTCCCTGAAATTGAGTTTCTTGAAAGGTGGCGTTTGTTTTCAAGTGTGTCATTGTTAGCAGGTGGTCTATCCATTTTATTCTCAATGAGTCAGTTTGAGATTTCGGGTGGGATTATGCTGGGAGCCCCGCCAGAACCACAGCTGAGTCTGGATGTTTGCCAAAGCTCTTCCATGCCCGTGTTGTTTCAGGTGGCACCACCCCTGCACAATGGGAAGACATCACAGGAACCACACCACTCACCTTCGTCAATGAATGTGTTTCCTTTACAACCAATGTGTCTGCCAGGTACGCCAGGAGCAGGGGAAGCCCCCACTTCCCTGCACCCAACTGTCATTCTGTTCTTCTGTTATTTTGACTCTTAATTCTTAAAAAAATGATCTGGTTTTTGTTCATTTAAAATAAAGTCTGGATGGGCCAGCAAATGCAGTAGTAATGATACGCTAAGTCCACCAGTCGTGAAAATCTAAGGAAAACAAATGACTACTTTGGTTGTCTGACTGAGACTCTGGGTTTTGCAGCCAGTGTTGATGTTTCCAGTTCCAAAGACCTCAGGGAGGAGAAATTTCCTATTGCCAATAATATAATCTGAGTTATTTTTTCAATGGAATAACAAGAACACAAAGCCCACTGTGGTTTGTTTAAATGTCTTTGAGATTTCAGGGCTCCTCTATATCCTTGCACATTTGCATATTACCCATTCATTTATTACGTATCTCTTAAAAAGCTGACAGTATCTACTTTTTCAATGGACACATTATCTCAAGTGTTTAATTTTGCTTTTGATGTCCAGCCAAATAGCTCAGCTTACTAAAGTGCCTGCAAACAGGTGCAGGGGCTAGAAGTTTGATCCCCAGACCTGCCATGTCGGCCCCACCCCCAGCATGTGCTGAGACAAAGATTGAGACTGGGCATGGTGCTGTGCGCCCGTAATCCCAGCTCTTGGGAGGCTGTAAAAGGTGGATCACTACGAGTCCGATCTAGTAGTGAGACCCTGAACACCCTGTAGAACCTTCCAAAAAAAAAAAAAAATTGCTTTTGTTTTTGGTTTTTAGTTAAGGAAGACCCCATCTTCATCTAGGCACCTTCATGTTCTTCAATTGTCTATTATAGTAACTTGGAGACCTAAGTAGAGTCTCCAAGTGTACATTGTGTACATTTTATAGATGACAAAACTGCTATTAAGAGTAGTTAAACGTTAAATTCCTGTGGAGGTGAGAGAAAAGGGAAAACTGCATGAATAATAAGTTAACAGTTCCCGCAATGACTCACGCTTGTAGTTCCTCACAGCAGGCTCAGCAGGCAGCCACCATGCATCTGTGTCTGGTGCCAGAAGTGATGCATCCTGTGGGAGAGGACAAGCCAGAGGCAGTAGCAGTGCTCAGAGAAGGGTGCTACGTAGTTAGAGGGGACATCTGGGAAGAGGGGATGCTTGAGATCTATGTGGGAACCAGATAGACAGAGAGAATGGGAACAGAGAAAAATTTAATGAGGATGCGAAGGCAGAATGTGGCAGGGGTGCTGAAAGGCACCAGCAGCTGCCCACATTGCCTGTAGTTCAGAAGTAGCCCCAGGCTGTTAGATGACAGCAGTCTTTACAGGGCTTTGTGGGAAAAGGTGGAGTCACTGTGAATATTCCAATGAGTACCTGTCAACTAAAACTACAAAAAACAAAAGGAACTGCATGCAAATTAAAATACTATGACCAAAAAGCTACAACTCTTATTGCAAAGGTCCTGCTTTACCTTGGTCTTAACCATCCAGTAGAAAAGTATGAAGACGAAATATAGGAAGTAAAGCCATGCTGTTATGTTGAGCTGTGGGGGACTCAGGTCAATAATTTCTGACATTGCCAGTTAAACAGAAGACCCAATGCTATTATGGTCTACTGGACTCTTTTTGAATATTTTGCTGAGTTTACACACTTATAATATTCAATAACAGAACTTAGAAAAAATAGGGTATACAGATGAATGTCCATTTTGTATCTGTGTATTCAAAGTGGTTAGGATAGATATATAGTTGCATTCTCTTAATGAATAGAATGATTTGTTCTAATGGTGTTTGTAAATAGGATCTCAAGTCCGCATCTTGTACAGCAATTAACCACTAAGAAGAATATATGCAGTGTGTTATTTGTTGAAACTGTACTTCCGATTTGATTTGAAACTGTCTCATTGCTGTTTGTCAATAAAATTTTGAAAAATAAAATAAAATAAAATACTATGAAATAAAATAAAATACTAAAGCCTTAAAAAGGTTGTAGTAAAAATGTTGTGAGGTGATATATAAAATATAAATATACCAGGACATATACAATATATGAACTATATAACTAAAACCAATAAAAATACCACAAAAATATTGTGTTATTACACTAATAATTTAATTCCCATGAAGTATAAAACAGTGATGAGGGTCGGGGAGATAGCTGGATGATCTAAGTGCCTGCCTGACAAGCGCAAGGACCTGAGTTCCATGTTCTGTACTGCAGGCCACACTGGCCCAGGAATCCCAGAAATGTGCACTGTGCATGCCCCAAAACCATAACTGGGCCTGGTGGCTTGCACCTGTAATCCCTGCACTGGGGAGGCTGAAAACAGGAGGATCACTACGAGTCCGAGCTGTGTAGTGAGACCCTGTACCAAATACATAAAAAAAGAAAAGAAAACAGAGCAGAGAAATGCCAGGCAGCCAATCTTTGCTTAAGGAGAGAACTGTTTTATCTCTAAGGCTGGCAGTTATTGCTCTGCAGTTCTGGGTGAGATTTAGCATCCTCAGCTGCGGTGTTATTTTTGCGTTCAGAGGTGTCAGAGTGTCACAGGTCACTATAGGCCTCTACTATAACTGTTGGTATGGGGAGTTCTCTTGCTGCATGCTGGCCATTGGCTTATCAGGCAAGTCACTTAGGCCTGGGACAGACTCATACATTACTACAGAAAACCAAATGATTATCTCTGAAGCCTCAGTGCTGCCTCAATGTGATCTCCTTCACAAGAATATACTGAAGAGCCAGAGGTCTGCATCCTGAGCTACATCCCCAGGCCTTTTCATTTTTTATTTTGTCCAGGCTGGGCTGGAACTTGTGACTGTCCTGCCTCAGCCTCTCCATATGCTGGGGTTAAAGGCATATACCAGGCAGGTTTTTTTAAATCATTAAGTTAATGGAGCCAATCCCAGTGACTGGAAAGTTCTTTGGAAAAGAATGATGAAAGTAATAAAGAAGGATACATTTTGTTTAAAACCTTCAGCAAATAAAATGAAAGATGGGAATCAAGGAAAATAGACATCCTTCGGTGCAGTCAGTGCCCTGAGTTGTACTATTGAAGGCTAAAACCCCTGAAGGGTCCTAACACTTGAAGACAAATTTAGACTGAATACACATGCGAGTTGCTGGGGAGGTGAAGCACAAAGATAGTACTCAATAACTGATCTTAAAAATGTGGGAAATCTCTCTCTTTTTCCCCGCTCCCTTCTCTTGCCTGTCCACCTTGCCCTTCTCGTTCCATCCCTCTCGCCTTCGTCTTTCCTTCCCTTTCATTTTCTGCTTATTATCTCTTTCTTTTCCAAGAAGAACTTGATGATTAGGTTGATTTTTACTTAAAAAATAAAGAAACTGATTTTTAGTGGCATATCTTAAACTTTAAATAACTGCTTTTATTTTTTTCTTAGGTTCTGGCTGATAGATTGTCGACAGATTCAGGAATCTGTTACCTTTGCATCACAAGTGTACAGAGAAATTATTTGTGTACCTTACATGGCCAAATTTGTAGTGTTTGCCAAGTCTCATGACCCCATCGAAGCCAGGTTGAGATGCTTCTGCATGACTGATGACAAGGTGGATAAAACCCTGGAGCAGCAAGAAAACTTTGCGGAGGTGGCCAGAAGCAGGGATGTGGAGGTACTGTGTGAAGAATTCAGTTGTGCTGCATTGCTATTTGTATTTCTTTTCTCTCTTTTATCTTTTCTTTCTTTCTTTTTCTTTTTCTTTTTCTTTTTTTTTTTTTTTGAGACAGAGTTTCACTATATAATTAAGATTGGACTTGAACTTGCTAGGTATTCCAGGCTGGCCTCAAACTCTTGGCAATCCTCCTGTCTCAGCCTCCCTAGAGCTGAGATTACAGGATGTGCTACCACACCCAGCTGTAACTTGTATCTCAAATACATTTTCATAAATCGAGTCATAGAGATGAAAGACTCAACCATTTCTTGATCATTTTGAAGGTCAAAGATCCAAAATTAGCCTTTTTTTCCCAGCCGATTTGGACTGGCCCTGTAGGGATGGTCTTGGTATATGTGAAGAATATTTTGGAATATTATTTAGGAGAAAACTATGAGTTATTGATAAGCTCAAAATAGTGACTATAACAGTTTAGATTTTTTTTTTAGGTTTTCTAGTTGCTGTTACTATTTCTTAATTGTAAAGAAAATAGTCCAGGAAGTACTTCCTTGTACAGAAGTATTGAAGATATCCGGTACTTTCCTACATCACTTTTCTTCGTCCTCTGCCTGCTCTTCTTTTTGTTATTATTGTACATTTTCTTATTTTAGAATTTCCCAACAATATGGGTTTTTAGATATTGAAGTCCAGTAATCTGACCCCCTGAGCTGTCAAAAGTTAATTCAAGTAAAATTTTACACAGAGAATTAAGTATAATGTATATTAGTTGTGAGTGACCTTACGCAGGTTAGAAATAAGAACATTGAGTGCTGCCATGTATTTGAAGGTCTGTATTACTTAGAAGAGGGAGGAGTGGTACATGCTTTGCTGTGGATAAAACAGAATGACAGTTAATGGTGTAAAGATTATTGTGTATATGTTTTAAAGAACGTAAAGTTTCAACTAGTATTACCACTTCTTGTTTGTATAAGTAACAAATTATATTTCTAGCTATTTTATTGTATGATTTTTTCACTGGTTTCATTCAGGTATTAGAAGGAAAACCCATCTATGTTGATTGTTTCGGCAACCTGGTGCCCTTAACTAAGAGCGGCCAACATCATATCTTCAGTTTTTTTGCCTTTAAAGAAAACAGACTTCCTCTCTTTGTTAAGGTAATGTATGCATGTAACTTTGTCCTGCTTTTATTGAAAATTCAGGAAGAATTTGACTTCGTTTGTAGCAGAGAATGTTTGCTTATTGCCCAAGGATATTTTAAATCACATCTATGAAACTGTATATTCCTAGAGATTCCCCAAATTTATATTTTTGAAGTTTACAGTCTATCTTAATTTTTGGTAACAGCAATGTGTAATACTAGGGTCATGCTTGGAATGCCTGTCATTCTGGTCTTTTAAATACATACTGCTTGTCATGTCATACCAATTACTGCCATTCTGTCTTTCAAGTAAATGTTTGTTTTTAAAAAAGGGTAATAAACGAAAACAAGAGACAAGAAAAAATAATGTCATAGGACTGTCCTGCTACAATGCTGTATATGTTTAGATTTCTAAATTTCCATGTAAAAAAATGTAATTGTTTATTCCTATTTTTATATATTGTTTTCCTCTTCCCCTCACATTCTGTAGGGATTTAAGGTTTAACATATAAATACTTGATGGGAAATACCTGTCCCATGTTATGTCTAAGATGTTTGATAGACAGATAGTAAGGTTAAACTCAACTGCCTATGTTATACGGTAATAATATCAATAAGCTTCTTTTCTGGAGGGTTAACAACCAAAATTTTCTCTAATTTTACAGACAAAAAATTAGAGAAAAAGAAGGGCTGCAGGACAGCCAACATTTTGGCCCTAGCCCTTCAAGGTCAGTGAGAACTCAGGACATAGGAGAATCTGTACTGTAACATCCTGTAACTCAGTTACAAATTTACTGATCAAGTAGATTATGGGGCCACGGAGGAAAGTGATCAGTGATGTAGAGTGTGCCTAAGGAGAGTCACATGGAGAGAAAACATTCTCTCAGGCTCTCAAAGAGAGCAAACTGGTCAAGCAATGGCCATGACTCATCCACATGACACTGACAAAGGATCTGCAAACTGTGGTATAGGATTTTAGGGTAAATCCTGAAGGGACCTGACTGACCTTGGCAGATACAAAAGTTACATTTCTGGGTATATAAGTCTTGATTTCTCTTAGTCTTAACCATCCAGCAGAAAAGTATAAACATGAGGTATAAAAAGTAAAGCCATATTAATATGCTGAGCTATGAAAGGCTCAAGTCAACAACTTCTGACATTGCTGGTCCTATGGATAATCCACTACTATTATGGACTACTGGACTATATTGGATTATTTTGCTGAATTCATGCAACTACAATATTTGAATGGTAATGGAATACCCATCTCTGAGAAAACTAAACAAAATAGGGATACAAATAAGGACCATTTTGTATCTGTAAATACAAAATAGTTAGGATAGATATACAGCTACTTTCTCTTAATTTAATGAGAAGAAAGATTTGTATTAATAGTGTTTGGACAGGATATCATGTCTGCATCTTGTACTATGAATAACCATTACAAAGACAACACTATGCAATGTATTAATTATTGAAACTGTCCTACTAATTGGTTTTGAAACTCTCATTGCTATTTGTTTCTCCATAAAACTAATAAAAATAAAAATAAAAAAATAAAATTAAATGACAACAAAAAATCTTAATTTTTAGTAATAGACTATGAGTAAGGAGGAAACAAGGTCAGGTTATGCCCTATGCATTCATTGGAAACTGGCCAATCAATTGGAAAGGAAGTACATTTTCCTATTATTGCTTTAAATATTTCTGTTTAGATTTAAAAAAATGTAAATTTCACAAATATAGGGCTCAAAAGACTTCTGATAACTCTTTGTAATAAGATCTCTCCAGAGAAGTAGGATATCACCTTTACTAGGAATTTCCTCCAGTTAAATCTGTAGACATTGTATACTTTCATAAATTCATCAAACATTCTTATCAATGCATCATGAGCTTGAACCCTCTGTCTGGGAATGTTAACCTAGGTTAACGACTTAGCAGTTATGTGTACAAGTTTTATGTAAGATTCAGATTTTTAAAAAGGGCCACAAGAGTATGAATGAGTAGCTCTCTATCCTAGCTGCTTGTCTTCCTTCCTGCATTTCACAATTCATTTCACTCAGACACAAGACCAAGTGCTCACTCCTCACAAGGTAGGGGCCAGTCTCCATCTTTGTTTTCCTAGACCTACTTCAAGCTATGAATTCCCAACTGTTTGTCAGCAGTGATTCCTCTATTATTTTAAGCTCCCATGGTTTTTCCAACCACAGGTTTGCAAACTCCTTTTTTGTTTTCTTACAATCTCTTAAAGATATTTGGTTGTGCTACTTCTGACTCTCTTTTTTGCCTGATTATTGATAAAGACTCCTACAAATCACCACATTAAGCAGTATCTCCTGAAGGCTAATGGATCCATTTAACACAGACGGCTGAAAAATGAAGCTAATATTTGACATTGCGTGCAAAAGTCATTGTACAAACAACCCAGTACAAAAGTGGGTGAAGGATTTAAATAGACATTTCTTCAAAGAAGATACACATATGCTCAATGACTGCACTTGCTTAGGAAAATGCAAATAAAAACCACACTGACAAACTACTTTGTACCTATTATATTAGCCGTTATTAAAATAAATAAATAAATTGGAGACAAATCAGGACACCTTTGCAAGGCTGATAAACATGCAAAGGAATTCAACCACCTTGATAAACAGTATACTACTTCCTCAAAACATTAAATGTAGACTTAACGTATAAGCCAGCAACTTACTTCTAGCTATGTGCTCCAAATAACAGAAAGTAGAGACTCAGTTACTTACACACTCATGTTCTTTTTGTTTGTTTAATTAATTTTATTGAGAAACAAATAGCAATGAGACAGTTTCAAAACCAATTAGTAGCACAGTTTCAATAATTAATACATTGCATATTGGTGTCTTCATAGTGGTTATTCATAGTACAAGATGCTGACGATATCCTGTCCACACACTTGTTCTTACCAACCATTGCCAAACCCTATCAGCCAGTAGGTGGAAACAAGCCAAATGTCTAGCAGATAAATGAATAAGCAAAATGTGACATAAGTACCTACTGGAATCTAGTCTTAAAAAAGAAAAATTCTCACAAATGCCACAATATGGGCGAGTGTTGCAGGCCTAGAATGTCCTAGATACTGTCTTGTTGCTGGACACAATACCTGACACCCACAACTTAAGGAAGGACAGGCTTATTTTGGCTCACAGTTTATAGAGTGTTCAGTTCATATCCTATTGGCTCCAGAGTAGGATATCATGGCAGAGAGACAGTACGGAGGAGAATTACTCGTGACCTAGCAGCTGGGAGGGGGCTGGCGTGGGGAGAAAGAAATATAAAAGAAGGAAGGATAGCAATAGACCATGGCGTTTCGGGCCACGCCCCCAGTGGCTCACCTCCTCCGATCAGGCTTACTCCCCAACATCACATTGAATTCATGAATGCGCTAATCTGAAGATGAACATTACAGCCCCATAATCTAAGCGCCTCCTGAAAGCTCCACCTATGAGTGTAGGAGGCTTTGGGGGGACATCTAGCTATAAACCCAAATATAAAGTACATGAAATAAGCTAGATATAAAAGGACAAATATTGTGTGGTTTATTTATATGATATACCTAGAGGGATCAAATTCACAAATAGAAATTAGGAGAGTGGCTCAGGGACAAAAGAAAGGGAGATTAGAAAGTGACTACTGCATACAGAGTTTCAATTTGAGAGGATGAACAATTTTTGAGTAAAGATGGATAGTGGTGAGTGTACTTAATGCCACTGATTTGAATGCCTAAAAATGGTGTAAGTGATACTTTATGTTGTGTTTTACTAAGTAAGAAAGCAAAATAAAATTCTAATACTTCAATATGAATGAAACCTGAAAACATTACACTACATAAAATAAAACAAAAAATATGAGTCCACATGTTAGGTAAGTAGAACAGGTATATTGCAGAGGAAAGTAAGTGGAATAAAGGTTATCAGGGGCTGAGAGATCAGGAGTTGCTATTTAGTGGTTGCAACTTCAGCCTGGAATAATGACTGTACAGTTTTATAAATGTGCTTCATGCTACTGAATTATACACTTAAAATATTTAAAATGATAGATTTTATTTTATGTGTATATTTTATAGTTTTTAAAAAGCAGAATAAGTTCTAGAAATCTAATGTATAATACAGAGACTATAGTTAAAATAATGCATACTCAAAATTTACTAAGCAAAATCTTAAATGAAAAGTGGGGGGTTGGGGAGATAGATCAATAGAATAAGCGCTTGCCAGACAAGCGCAAGAGCCTGAGTTCAATCCTCAGTTCTGCCAAAAAAAAAAAAAAAAAAAAAAAAACTTAAAAAAAAAAGAAAAATGAGAGTGCAATTATGTGAGTTGGTATATTAATTAGCTTGACTATAGTAATTATTTCACAAGTATACATATACCACATCCTATGCCTTAAATCTGTACCATTTCATCAGTCATAATTTTTTTAAGTCATCCTAAATTATAATAGGAAAAGAGAAAAGGACAGACCTTTGAATGCCTACTAAGTATTAACAAATGAATTTCATTTTCTAACTTTAAAGATGATCTAATCAGCTAACTAAATAGTGCATTCAAATATATGTGAAGAGTGAATGTTTTTCTTGTTCAAGGTCCGCGATACAACTCAGGAACCTTGCGGTCGACTATCATTTATGAAGGAGCCAAAATCCACAAGAGGCCTGGTGCATCAAGCTATTTGCAACTTAAACATCACCTTGCCAATTTATACAAAGGTATTGTAGGATCTGCGGTGGAATTTTAAAAGCATAAATATAAAGACTCATTTTTAAAGCATTTCAAATAAGTGTAAACAAAGATACACTGAGTGCAGGCATGTATAATAAACATTTTTGATACCTTGTTAAATTTACAATTTTTCACTTATCAAGGAACAATTAGTTAAACTTATCATGCACGAAATGCACTTTATGGGCCGGGAAGATAGCTCAGTAGAATAAGTGCTTGCCTGGCAAGCGCAGAGAGTCCTGAGTTCAATTCCCACTACTGCTGAATAAATAAATAAATAAATGCACTTTAAAAATGTTGTTAATATAGATGAGACATAGAAAAATCAGTTTAAATTTTGACACTTGGAACTGATTTTAAAAGTAAAATAGTTGACTTTGTCATCATTATCAGTTTTACATGCTTTCCTGAAACCATTCTAGTGCCTTTGGCCCTCCTAAAACTTTAGGGTTCATTAGCTTCAAGTCACCCCCAGTTCACTGGTGGGTAATGTGCTGTTGAATACAGAATGAACTCATGATTTTTTTTTAGGCTAAAACAAATTTTTATTTATCTTATAATATGTCCTGTTTTAGGAGTATTAAATTAATTCTTCAAGTTTATGAAATATAATCAGTATTTAGATGTCCTCATTTTTACAAATAATAGATTTGAAACACTTGAAAGAAAAAAACTAATTTCTGACCTAGTTTATCTATAAGCATTACTTTTCAAACTCTCCCCCATTTACATATTTCCTCATGGATACTGATTACTTCAAAGAAGACCGCTGATTATTAAGTTCCTTCTTATTACTTTAATTTTTTTCCCCTCCGATCAATATCCTTTTTTGACCAGAAGCCATAATAGCACTCGGTTGGTGGCTCCCAGAGGTTACTGGAGTTGGGGAAGGAGATGAGTGTGGTTGCTAATATCTGGAGTAGATTATGTGAGAACCTCAAAGTATAAAGGACAAAATAAAAGATAGATAATAAGTAGGGAGATAGATTGTTTCATAATATAAAGAATTTTGTCAACCACACATACCCCACCATACCTGTCAAATTTAAATTGAGCTCAGTTATTCTTGTAAACCAAAGTCAGCTAACGCTCATAGCCAATACCTATTAAATGGTTAAAAAGGAAATGAAATATCTGCATTTGGTGTTTCAGAAATTCAATATAGCAATTGTTAAATCATTCTAAATGAGCATAGCCTAAGTGGACTCTGGTGATAGCAAATGCACTCTGAGGTTTGTAGACCGATTACCGGTGAGTCACCTGGGCAGAGTGGCAGATAGAATGACATCTGGAGGCCACCTGTGACATTTGCAAAGATGAGTATGCTTTGACTGGCTGTGGTGAGCTTTAGTTTGCTATAAAAGAAAGTATTTATTTTACCTTTTCTTTATAAATCCAGACATATTAGACTGTCAGTACTGATGGTCAAGATAATTTTCTAGTTAGTAACTAAAATCAAAAGAAGAAAATATCAAACATACAAATTTAAGATACTTTAGAATTTAATAGCTCTTTAATATAATGAAACCCTTACATATTACCAGTGTATTGGAGATGTTTTTCCCATATGCATCCTTATAACTTCTGACCTTTTCAACTAATATCCATAATGACTGTGATATCATGTCACTATTTCTGTAGACAAATAGAACTGGACTCATTAAATGTCAAATTTTGAGGCTGTTGGTGATGTAGCATATGGAATTATATTTGCCATGTTGCTTCTTTGTGTCCCTTGGATCTATAGACTTCCTCAGCGCTCTTTTTCTGCCTACCTTCTACAAGCTGGCAGTAGGAGAAAAAAGAGTATGCTGACTTCATGCTGCCTTTTAATGTTTGTCACAGGGTATTTTTGCTGTTTTCTTCTAAATACTCTCTATTCTTCCATCTCTCTTTTTTTCCTATCTTGCGTGGCATCTTGGGGCATCCAGGAATCAGAGTCAGATCAAGAACAAGAAGAAGAGGTAATTCTGTGATAGTGTCCCTTGTTCCTGGCTGTGTCCTCACTATAACTACTAATAAGAGACTGTAGTTAACCTGTCCTTAGAGAGGTAGACAGCTGTTCTTAGTACTCCAAGCAGCAGAACTGTACTTAATGCTCTGAGCCTCGGGTTTCTCATCTTGTATAATCATCATGTCAAAGAATCAGAAAGCTTCTCTGTGAATTTTAGCTCTTTATGCAGTGGTACATATTTCCTTGCCACCTATCAAAGGCTAAACCAGCAGTTTTCAAAGGTTAGGCTGAAGATGCCTGAATGTTTTATAATAACCCTAAGGCATTATTTGTCTTTTTAGCTCTCATACCCTGACAAGCTCTGGAGGACTTTTTTAGAGCATCTGTAATCTGTGATGACATTGTCTCTCAGACCATCAAGGGAGTGTGTGCTTAGGTAGTCTTGAGTTCCAGTATTGCTCAGCTTCAATTTGTAATACAAATATTCATTTTATCCATAGCACAAATGAATGTTCTTTGAGCTTTTCATTAAGTTTTAGGCATATAAAGTGATGCTGAGATCAAATAGTTGAGAATCAGTCAGACAAACTATTTTGAGGAATATATCATCCATCCTCCAGGCTTGTAATGGAGAGTTATGCTAAAGAGCATCTCTCATAAGCTTTGGTCCTCTGAAGAGGCCCACAGACTGTATCAATACAGATCTCTCACTCACCCTACAGGTGTGTGATGCTGTCCCACAGGTGAGAACACAGGCTTTAGAGACGCTATCTTGAATCCATAGCCATTTGAATTATATGTTTCAATATTTAAAACAAAAATGTGATCTCTCTTTTAAAGTTCTGTAAGTGCCTAAATATTGCAACAGAAATGAAATGACTCATCAGGAAACTTTCTTATTTTTGCTTATGGATCTATCACCTCCTATTACAAAAACTACTGAGACTTTGAAGCACGTATAAATATTTGGAATATACTGGTTTCTATAATGTTATTTTGATGCATTTGAAATACAAAAATGCAAAGAAAATGGTAATAAAACCTTGTACCAGCAACTTAAAAGGCCTGAGTTGAAAGGATCCCTGCACTCTTGTTTTTGTGTGCCATTTTGGTCATGCAACAGGAGGAGAGGGGTGGTTAGAGACTCCCTGTCCAGCCACATACAGTCATACACACCATTGCTGGTGGCAAGACTGACGTCACACTCTCCCTGTGCTGCAGTGTCCTGTGCTCAGTTTCCTTCCTGTGCTGTGTGACACTTGGACAGCTGTCAAAAGGAGAAGCTTCACTCCTTGAAAGAGCAATAAACTTGTTATATGTTGACAAATGAATTTTTCCATTCAATATATGACTATTTAATCCTACTTTGAGTACTTCCAGAGGTGTTCAGGGCAATAGATTCCAGTCCATACTCTTTTTAGGATTTGGGATGCTTGAATGTTATTAATGGTAATAACACTACTTTTATAGAATGCATTCCCTTGCATGTTGTTTGTTATTTTCTTCTTCTTCTCCACTAAGTTGACACTCATTAATATTGACATCACCCTTTTTCTGACCTTTTCCCTAATAATTATGTATTTCTCGGGTCAAATACAACCTAGGTCCTATTCTCCCAGGAATAACATGTTTTTCCACACGTGGTATCTAAAAAAGAGACCTTTCCCCCAAAAGTTAGAATAGAGACTCCAAGGATGGGAAAAAACCTGTAGTAAATTACTACAAAGTTCCTCTAGTGAGTGGTGCCATCCCATGTGTGTAATTATGAATAGGAACTTGTGCACATCTAGTTCCATCAGTCTAGACACTATTTGTAACCATGCAATTTATGTATGTTTTCTTTCAGATCGATATGACATCAGAAAAAAGTAAGATTTTAAATGCAATTGAGTTTGTTTGAAAGCTGGCTATAATAAAAAGAAGCATGACTTAAGATGCAAGCTAGTTGCCATTATTAACCACTATAATATTTTTATATTACCCTTATTAATCATTAATATATATTTATAAAAGCAGCTTAGCCAGTTAAATTACAAATATTCCTGATTTGTAAGCTAATTACCTGTAAAACGCAATGATTATTCATCTAAGCATTCACTTGCTTTTGACATCCCTGTTAACCCTGGTATTGCTGTTGCGCTTGTTTAGAAAGCCACCCTACCGTTTTGTCCAACTGTTAGCATAACATTGTCATCTCATTATTTTTTAAGCACTTACTGGACAGTATCACTTTTTGTATAAGGCAACAGTAACATCTGTAGAGATCTCTTTTTTTCTTTTTCTTTTTTTTAGGATGCACCTGCAAAAGTGATACTGTCTGATAGTTCTTAGCTGAAGCTAACCCCACCCTTCATCCCTCCCTTGCACTTCTTTCTTACTGCGGTGAAGTATAACCAAAATCTTCAGGTTGAGATCTAATAGCCTTCTATGAAAGCTTTCTGAAAAGAGGAAAAACAAAAACAAAACAAAGAAACACCTAGGAGCCAAGAATGCAAAATTTAAATCCTCCTGAAGTTACTAATTTTAAATGATGAGGCAAAAATCCCAAACCTGATGAAATACAGAGAAAATTGGTCCTTGCAGACCTGGAAAGACCTATTTTGGAATTCTTTTTGGGTTTGTGGTATTTGACTGACATCTTAATTTGCTGGCCTGTGTCCATTGACTCTGGCTCCTTATATGTAAACTCAGGTTGAACTTTAAAGCTTTCTTTCTTATGCCCCAAATGGGTTAGAAAAAGAAATTCTAATTTTTAATGTAATGGAATGTACTGTATTTTGGGTGATATTCCCAAAAGAAGAAAATTCACAGCCATGTTTAACATGGCTGCTTGGCCCTATATACTGACCTGCAAGCTTTTTCTTTGAAGTCCTAATACAGTGCAATCCCTTAACACATAATTGGAATGGTTTTAACTGAAGCTTACCCTCATGTGAAATCATTATTCAGGTCTAAGGTCTATGAAAAGCTGAACAAATGTTCACTGCCTTATCTAACTGAACAAATCTGTATTGATATTATAAATTATTTTAATATAGTTTATAAATGCAAAGTCACATACTCAGCAAATACATATTGTGAGAGAAGGCCCTTTTGTTTTAATGACATTATGAATGTCTTCCTTAATTTCTCTTTTTAAAAGTGATTTTGTTTTTTTCTATCCTTCATCTTTAGATATGTTTTCTTAAATGGTCTTTGCTTTGTTCTTGTCACATGACCTAGTAAAAAATAAAAAATTTTCTATATTTCTGACTCAGCTGTTAAAAACAAAAAGCAAAAAACATTGCTGTATTGCTATAAAGCCGTGGGCTTTCCTGAATCATTCCTAGTTGTGAATGTTTGACACATTTCAAATCTAGACTTATGTTTGGCTTTGTTTTCAAGAGGATCATTAGATAATGTTTATGTATATATAAAAAAATCTCCAAAGAAAGGCTTTTTTGAAGGCCCTCTTTCTTAAAAACTTTTTGAGTAAATCTTAAAGGTCTGGTTGAATTTTCCTGTGGCAATGAATGGTTTCAGGTTCCTACAACCTGCACCTCAAAGGCACTATAGTTAGCATCTTCTACAAGGATGTAGAGAGAAATAGATGCACTTCACCACAGTAATGTTTTACATATCCGTTCTAATTTCTCATCATCCTCCTGCCCATGCTTTTCCGCAAGGCTACCTCTCCCAACAGTTTTACTCCACCTTTGCTTTGCATGGAAATAACTTGGCTTACATAAACTGTGCGTGTGTCCCGTGTGACTGTCTCAGACTTGGATTGCCATGCCTCACATTTAACTCTGGACTCACATGTATGTTGGATCACAAGTGTTTCCGTTGTTTTCCTTTCCTTTCCTCTCTTTCCCTCCTTGGTCCATCTGTTCCATGCCCATACAAGGAGGTTGCTCCAAGGAAAGGACTGTGCCTGTCCACAGCACAAGACTATATGTTCCATTGTTAGGTGTGCCTTTCCCTTGGATGAAATGCCAGTTTGCAGCTGATTCAGAGATGTTTTCTGGCATCATTGCATATCAGCAGAACAAAACATACTGAATTCCAGATTTATGTGTTTAGGAATGTGTATACACCATTGAGCATTATTCTGAGTTTGCTATTACTGGCTTTCTCCCAGAGGAAACCAACTTTCTGCGATCTCTAGTGCTTTTTCCTTATTCTTTTCCCCATAATTTTTTGGTTTCTTTCCAACATTGATCTGTGACATCTGAACAATCTTGAGATACCTGTGTGTAATTTCACTGTGTTCTTCCTTTGTGATGGTTTTTCATGTGTGTCTTGATTATTTGTGATAGCTTTGTTGTATGTGTGGATGTGCTACAAGTGAGAAAAATTAAGCAAGTTATTTCCTGCTCATTTTTCCTTTTCAGTTTTTTTCTGTTAGCCTTGCTTTGCTCTTGTGCTCCAAGGCCTTGTGGATCCACCATTCCCAGCCCATTCTGTTGCCCCTCCTACCACGGCAGGAAAAGACGTTGTGTCCTTGCAGTCCTGATTACATTTGCCAATATCGTTTTTGATTTCCATTTTACTTTCAATGTTTTTCATTCATATCAAAGATGATGAGACAGAATCTACAGAAACATCTGTCCTGAAAAGTCACCTCGTTAATGAAGTTCCTGTCCTAGCAAGTCCGGACTTGCTCTCTGAAGTTTCTGAGATGAAACAAGACTTGATCAAAATGACCGCCATCTTGACCACAGATGTGTCTGATAAGGCAGGTTCCCTGAAAGTGAAGGAGCTGGTGAAGGTCGCTGAGGAAGAACCAGGAGAGCCCTTTGAGATTGTTGAAAGAGTTAAAGAGGACTTAGAGAAAGTGAATGAGATCCTGAGAAGTGGAACATGCACAAGAGATGAAGGCAGCCAGCAGCGCTCTCAGGAGGAGCAAGAAGTAGAGGAGGAGGAGTGGGTTCTTGTTAGTGAGGAGGAAATAGAGGAGGCTAAGCAGAAAGCACCTTTAGAAATCTCTGAATATCCATGCATAGAAGTTAGACTAGAGAAGGACAGCAAAGTCAAAGCAAAGAAAGACTCCACTGGACTTGTGAAATTTCTGGCTGAAGACCTAAATGCATATGTGTCTCCCCATGAAGAGAAGACTGGGGAGGCTAGCAAGCCTCAGGCTACTGGCAGGAGCTCCAGCAAGGAGGGGAAGGCTGCAGCCCCAGAGGAAAAACTCACCACTCAGAAGCAGAACAAACCAAGCCTGGGCATAAAGAAGCCAGTGAGGAGAAAGTTAAAGGAAAAGCAGAAACAGAAAGAGGAAGGTTTACCAGGGAGTGAAGAAAAAGCAGAACTTAAAAAAGATAGTTCTGAAGAGTCATTAGAGGAAGATACGGGTCTGGCCCCTGTTCCTCTTTCCACTGCCAAGGCCACCTCTCCTCTCATAGAAGAGACACCCATTGGCTCCATAAAGGACAAAGTGAAGGCCCTGCAGAAGCGAGTGGAAGATGAGCAGAAAGGCCGAAGCAAGTTGCCTATCAGAGTCAAAGGCAAAGAGGATGTGCCCAAAAAGGCCACTCCCAGGACACATACCATGGTGTCCCCCTCACTGAAATCAGACAGGCATGCTCCCACATCACCATCCTCTAAAACAGAAAGACACTCATCCCTTTCCTCCTCCGCAAAAACAGAAAGGCACACTCCAGTGTCACCATCAAGTAAAGAGAAACATTCACCTGTATCACCCTCTGCGAAAACTGAAAGACATTCACCTGTGTCAGCAGCAGGTAAATCTGAGAAACACTCACCTTTATCACCCTCAACCAAAACTGAAAGACACTCCCCTGTGTCATCTACAAAATCAGAACGACACCTTCCTGTCTCACCTTCAGGCAAAACTGACAAACGCCCCCCTGTGTCACCTTCTGGGAGAACGGAGAAACATCCTCCAGTGTCACCTGGGAGGACAGAAAAACGCTTGCCTGTTTCACCCTCTGGAAGAACAGAGAAGCATCCACCCTCTGGGAAAAATGACAAGCACTTGCCTGTGTCTCCATCTGGGAAAATGGAGAAGCAACCACCTGTGTCCCCCACTTCCAAAACAGAGAGAATTGAGGAAACTATGTCTGTCCGGGAGTTGATGAAAGCTTTCCAATCTGGTCAGGACCCATCAAAACATAAAACTGGACTCTTTGAGCACAAATCAGCAAAACAAAAGCAAACACAAGAAAAAGGTAAAGCCCGAGGAGAAAAAGAAAAGGGGCAGATAGCAAGTCAGAGAGAAATTCAGAGAACAGAGAGTCAGACCATCAAACGAGGTCAGAGATTCATAGTGACAGGGCTTTCAGAATCCAGAAGAAGTATTCGTTCCTCCTCCATAGGACTTAGGAGAGAAGAGGCAGTTGGAGAAAAGGAGAAAACTCCCAACCACAAAACCCCAGAGCCTGCTCAGCCATTGCGTGAAGAAGAAAGCCAGGGAGAGAGAGAGATCCCTAAGGAAAAGGTGACTGATGAACAGGGAGAAATGGACTTGCAGATCAGCCCAGACAGGAAAACTTCCACGGACTTTTCTGATGTCATTAAGCAAGAGTTAGAAGACAATGACAAATACCAACAGTTCTGCCTGAGTGAAGAGACTGAGAAGGCACAGGTTCACCTAGACCAAGTCCTCACCAGCCCATTCAATACAGCCTTCCCACTAGATTACATGAAGGATGAGTTTCTCCCTGCTCTGTCTCTACAGAGCGGTGCTTTGGCTGGTAGCTCTGAAAGCCTGAAGCAGGAAGGGATAGCAGCTTCACCATGTGGAAGCCTGATGGAAGGGACTCCGCAGATTAGTTCAGAAGAAAGCTATAAGCATGAGGGTCTGGCAGAGACTCCTGAGACCAGCCCAGAGAGCCTTTCTTTCTCACCAAAAAAAAGTGAGGACCAAATTGAGGAAATAAAGGAAACTGCCAGGTTAGAAACACCTCCAGAAATTCATTCAGAAAAAGAACATCCCACAACCAAAGACCTCACGGATGGCTCTGAAGATCAAGGTGCTCTGGTCCCTGAGGGCTCTGAGCCCTCTGCTGAGGCTTTTCAGAAGGAGGCCACCCTAGACCCTTCTAGAGACATATGTCCCAAACAAACAGACAATTGTCCTGTCAGCCCTAGTGTGCCACTAGCAGAAAAAACCCCGAGGACACTGGCAAAGGAAGTGTACTCTGACAGAAGTTCAGCTCCCCAGACACAAGCTGATAGTGAAACTCAGGAATCCACAGCCTCCTCAGATGAGGCAAAGCCCTCACTCCCATCTGAAACTTCTGTAAAGTCAGACCCAGAAAGTGAATCCAAGCCCCAAGCAGTCATCAGGAGTCCCCAGGGTTTAGAGCTTGCACTCCCTAGCAGAGATAGTGAGGTCCTCAGCCCCATGGCTGATGAGTCACTAGCAGTAAGCCACAAAGACTCTTTGGAAGCCAGCCCTGTGCTAGAAGATAACTCCTCACACAAAACTCCTGACTCTCTGGAACCAAGTCCCCTGAAAGAATCTCCTTGCCGGGACTCTCTTGAAAACAGCCCTGTTGAACCAAAGATGAAGGCAGGAGTTCTACCAAGTCACTTTCCTCTTCCTGCCACAGTAGCCAAAACAGAACTCATTACAGAAGTGGCCTCCATGCGGTCCCGGCTACTGCGAGATCCTGATGGCAGTGCTGAGGATGATAGTCTTGAGCAGACATCACTGATGGAGAGCTCAGGGAAGAGCCCCCTTTCCCCTGACACCCCCAGCTCTGAAGAAGTCAGCTATGAGGTCACACCCAAAGCGACAGATGCATGTACCCCCAAACCAGCTGTGATTCACGAATGTGCAGAGGAGGATGACTCTGAAAATGGGGAGAAAAAGAGGTTCACCCCTGAGGAAGAGATGTTCAAAATGGTAACCAAAATTAAAACGTTTGATGAACTTGAACAAGAAGCAAAGCAGAAAAGGGACTACAAGAAAGAGGCCAAGCAAGAGGAGTCTTTGTCATCCTCTGATCCAGGTGCTGACTGCTCAGTGGATGCGGATGAACTGAACCACATGAAGAGTGTGGAGAGTGAAAGTGATGTCCCTGTGTTGGTGACTTCTGAAAGTAGAAAGGCTTCTTCCTCCTCAGAAAGTGAACCTGAACTGACTCAGCTGAAGAAAGGTGCTGACTCGGGCCTCTTACCAGAACCAGTTATTCGAGTGCAGCCTCCTTCTCCACTTCCATCTAGCATAGACTCCAGTTCCAGCTCTGAAGAAGTACACTTTCACCCTATTGTTTCTAAACAGTATACTTTCAAGATGAATGAAGATACTCAGGGAGAGACAGGTAACTCAGAAGATGGAAAAGCCAGTGAGCCCGGTTCAGAGGAAGACACTCATCCTCTTTCCACTGATGAACCAGATAGGTCTTACGATGATCTAAGCAAAGACAACAGTCAATTAAAAGTCTGTGATGGCCATGGGTGTGAGGCTGTGAGTCCTAGCAGCTTGGCCACTCCCATCTCTTCTGGTCTCCAGAAGTTGGATGGTGATGATGTTGGTGAGCAACTCATCAACCATAAAGAATCATCAGCTCCTCAAGATACTCATGAAGGTGATACAGAAGGAGAAGAACTGGATGTTTCTGGAGTGGAATCCCTACAAGTAGATTGCCCCAGAGAAAGCCCTTCTTCATTGTCCTCTTTCCCTCATTGTCCAGGATCTGAAGAAAAGGAATTAGATAATGACAGATCTTCTGTATCTCCCACTACAAAAATGGAGGAAACCAACAATGACCCAACTTTGGAGAGCTTAGCAAAGGATTGCTCTACTGAAGATTCATATATTATGACTGAAACAGACAGGTTACCCATGGACATGACACAGTCAGACCTAGTGGAGACTGATGAAATCTGTGAGCCTCATATCACAAGCCCTTATGAAAACGTTCCTTCTCAACCTTTTTTCTCTAGTGAAGAAAGCGAAACCCAAATAGATGCTAGTCATACCGTAAGTCTTCACTCTTCTAAAGTGCATTCTGTTACCATCACATCCTCTGTAGCAGAGGTAGCCGTGACAAGCTCCTCTAGTGGAACTGTTTCAAGCAAAGAATCTAATTCTGACAGCGAGAACCTTCGAGTAGAATCCAAACCAGAAAGTGCAGTGTGGGAAATGCAGTCAGACAGCTCCTCCTCCTTTCCCCAGCCCACTACGGCAAATACACCAGCAGTCATTGGGGAACAAATAAGCAAAGTCATCATCACAAAAACTGATGTGGACTCAGATTCCTGGAGTGAAATTCGTGAAGATGATGAAGCCTTTGAGGCTCGGGTAAAAGAGGAAGAGCAGAAGATATTTGGCTTGATGGTAGACAGACAATCACAGGGTACCACCCCTGACACTACTCCTGCTAGGACCCCAACAGAAGAGGGGACCCCAACAAGTGAGCAAAATCCATTTCTCTTTCAGGAAGGAAAACTATTTGAGATGACCCGAAGTGGTGCCATTGATATGACCAAAAGGTCCTACGCAGATGAAAGCTTTCACTTTTTCCAAGTTGGTCAGGAATCCAGGGAAGAGACTTTATCTGAAGACCTGAAAGAGGAGACCCCAGGGGCTGAACCACAGTCGGAGACGACAGCTGAGTCACTAGCACATTCAGAATCAAAAGAAATGGTGGATGATGAAGCAGAATTACTTCCAGATGACCTAAGTGAAGATACAGAGGAAATACTCACTTCAGATACTCATGTTGATGCCCAAATGGAGATTTCAGCTTCTCCTGAAATGGCTACACAAGAGGCTACTGCTACAGGGGCTGAGGACCTTCCTATGCAAATGACTAACACACCTTCCCTTTCTAGTAGAAAGCAGGTACCTTGCCCTGACTCCCCTGAACCAGTTATGCAAGTTCAGTTAGACTTTTCCACGGTCACCAGGTCTATATATTCAGAGCGTGATGAGGAGTCTCCTGATTCTTCCCCTGAGGAAGAGAAATCAGTGATTGAAATCCCTACTGCACCCATGGAGAATGTGCCTTCTACTGAAAGCAAATCCAAAATCCTTGTAAGAACTATCCCCACTTCATCCACTACCCATTCATCTATAGAGGATGAGTGTGCATTTTCTGAAGATTTTCCATCCAGTCTGGATGAAGAAAGTAAGGAAGAGGATGCAAAACCAAAGTCTAAAAGCCCCATCAAAGCATCCATCCAAAGAGTTGAAGAGCAGCTTTTACTTCTAGACTCATCTCTCCGTAGGACAAGGGCACCTCAGGGACAGGGTGTGACAAGCAGAGCTCCAGACAGTAGAAGTAAATCTGAATCTGATGCTAGTCCTTTGGACTCCAAGATCAAATGCCCAGGGAAAGCCAGAAGTTACATTGAGACAGAGGCAGAGAGCAGAGAGAGGGCAGTGGAACTAGAGTCAGAATCAGAGGAAGGGGACACAAGACCAAAGATATTTGCATCCCAATTAATAGTTAAGAGCAGAAGCGCCACATCTTCCTGCAAGGGGGTCATGAGTCCCACAAAAGAAAGTAAGGAGCATTTCTTTGACCTCTACAGAAACTCCATAGAATTCTTTGAGGAAATTAGTGATGAGGCTTCTAAGCTAGTGGACAGACTTACACAGTCAGAGAGGGAACAGGAATTAGCTTCAGATGATGAAAGTAGTAGTGCCCTGGAAGTTTCAGTTATTGAAAATCTGCCACCTGTTGAGACTGAGCACTCAGTTCCTGAGGACATCTTTGACACAAGGCCCATTTGGGATGAGTCCATTGAGACTCTGATTGAACGCATCCCTGATGAAAATGGCCATGACCATGCTGAAGGTATTTGCCAGCCACTGGGATTCCCTGTGATCCGCATGTCATAAATTTGATATAGTTTTTTTTTTTTGTATGTCTGTTTTATTTGGTGATTTGTGTCTCATTTCCTTTATGCTTTCTGTAGTGGTTAATGTGTTTGTGTAAGCCCTTTGTGTTTTGTGCTTTCTCTGTATACTCTTGTCTATGAAAACAATCTCAAGATTGAGTAATGAGAATGCTTATGGAAAACATAAACATATGCAGGCGAGGATGACCTTGCCTTTCTTTAGCTGCTGCACGTAAGGCCATGCAAGCTTTGAGTTTTGTTGTTCTGAAGTCCAAGGCTTAGTCTCAAATGAAGCACTTTTGCTCTTTTGCACATGATATATGGGGTTTTTGTTTCACATGATGAGGACTCATTGCTTTTTCTTCTTATCTTTGCACACTTGGAAATAATTTGTACTTACATTTTTGTAATTATTAGGAAGCCATTTGCGCAAGATTTCTCATATCCTCAAATTCCAATTGTTGTGGATCTGTTTTTGATTCAGAAAGGTTGGATTTCAGATTCCACTGGTAAACACTTTAAGCAAACAATCATAAGGTAAAAATATGCTTTTTGTTTACATGGTAGATGAATTGAGAATGTACTGCAATTAGATTCAGCAGACAACAAAAACTCAAACTTTGCACAATTTAAGTTGACTGAAGGAATGATGACTCTAAACTGTAAAGAAGAAAACCATAGATGGCTTTGGGACACGGCCTCTAGTCTTCCAGTATCTCTACAATGAAGACTATTAGTCTTAAATTTAGGTTATAAAAAATTTCATGATTCCAAGCTCTATATCCATGAGTTAAAAGTGAATGGAGGGCTGGGGAGATAGCTCAGTAAAATAAGCACTTGGCTGGCTGACAAGAGCAAGATCCTGAGTTCAATCCCTGGTACCACAAAAAGAAAAAAAAAAAAAAAAAGAATGGAAAAATTTATAGCATGTGAGAAAAATACAACATAGTATTTATGGTATACTGCTAATAATACTATTTTACCTAGTGATAAATAGGCAGAATCTTTGCCCAAATGGTAAAGAGTATATGCATACCCATACAACATACATATACAAACATGTGTGCTGTTATTGTCTCTTCTTCTAAGATCATCAGAAATAAGGTACATGCTATTTCTGGACACATTAGTCCAGAAATAGGTCCATAAGTCCAGGATAGTCTGTTCAGATATGATTAAGATCTTTTGTGAGTTTTTGTTGTGATTTTTTTTCTGGCATAACCTAGAAATGATCCATACCTCCACAGACAACAGTAGGAGGGCCTAACCAATTACTCCACTGATTTGTACCATTTATGGTGTTTCATGAACAAGATGAATGTCTTCTCATGAGCCTTATTCTCTCAGATAATGTTAAAGTCCTAAGATGACTAGAAGTCTGTAATTTATAGAACTGTATCCTCTAAGTAGTCTTTATTAGAGAGATATGGAAGGAGATGGTTTTCATGAGTCATATTAGATTATTCCTCATTCTACCCTGGAAGTCAGGCAAATGCACAATTTGATATTATCTAACCTGTAACAGCTAATACGTGCTACTATCAAATATTTGGACAAGTGGCTCTATTCTTTGAATGATCAGTACTGTGGTTCCTCTCCTGCCATAGACAACCTTTGGCCATTCTGTTTTTGACCTTCTGTAGATCCACAGGATGAGCAGGAACGGATCGAGGAAAGGTTGGCTTATATTGCTGATCACCTGGGCTTCAGCTGGACAGGTAAGATGCATGCGAACCAGTTTTTCCACAAAATCTGCTTTGTTTAAACAATATAGATGCATCAGCTAAGGATCATTAGCAATTTAAAGAATTTCTTCCCCCTCCCTTTGTTTGAGGAAAAACTACATGGAGTAGTAAAAAGAAAGATAAATTATGAAGTAGAAGATCCAGGCTCTATATTAGCGACTAGTGGAACCTGAGCAAGCTCAGAGGAGGACAGGGAGAAATTGTCATCATCTCTGAAATTTAGAATAACCTTAGATTTGAAGATTTTTAAGACTATACCAACCTTCATCATCCCTCTTTGGCAGTTATAGACACCTCCATTTGGCAGAGATTATTGTGTTATAAACCAGTGTAAGACATAATTTACATAACGTATCAATGGAAATTTAACCAGGGGCTACTGCTTTTAACCTCTTTAAATCATAAAAACATTGTTTTGGGTGAATATTGAATGTCAAACACATTTCACTAACTTTTTGAAAATTGAGACTGTTTAAAGATAATATATGTTCAGTAATTTACAAGGGGAAAGTAAATTATAAAATCAATATGGTTTATTTACAAATTATGACTTGTAGATTTAAACTCTGCCTTTTCATCTACTTGTAATTTAGCATACTAAAGCAAAATTATCATCTACTTTTCTTTATTTTGTTCTTCCTTTTTATTTCTTTCTTCTCATTGTAAGTCTGGGACCTGGTATCTTTTTATATCACTTATATCTACTTTATTCAGATGAACAGTATAAAGTTAATATTCTTTTAATACCTTAAAGATTTGAACAGCAGTACACGTTACCTTCAAAGATAATTGATGACTTAAAATAAAAGGAAGGCAGAGTCTGTTTTCTTAATCATTCTAAAATTTTAAAATAGTGGTCAGATTTATTTATTTGAAGGGTTTACAGGAAGATTATAATCTACTATTTAAAAGTAAGCAAAATTTATTTACTAATATTCCTTGTAGATATCATAGTCACACAGACATATGTATTTCATTCTTTTAAATGATTATTGAATTCTATTTTATTTAATTTTATCAATAGTCTTTGTAAATAGATTTTAGACTATTTCCTAGTAATGGCAATAAAATATCTTAATGCATTGTTATATGTTTGTGAATACATTTATAGGATATATTCTTAGAAGCAGAACTCTTTTTGTTTTTGTTTTTTTTTTTTTTTTTTTGGTGGAACTGGGGATTGAACTCAGGCCCTTGCCCTTGCCAGGGAAGCGCTTATTCTACTGAGCCATCTCCCCGGCCCCTAGAAGCAGAACTCTTAAGGCACAAATATTTTTAATTTTAGAAGATATTGTGAACCCAGATGTGGTGGCACATGCTTGTAATGCTAGCACTTGGGAGGCTGAAGCAGGAGGACTGCCCTGAGCTTAAGACCAGCTAGGGCTACTGTTTTACTTTTTTTCCCCCATTGCTTTGACAAAATACCTGGCCCTCCAAGTTAGATGGAAAAAGATTTTTTGAGTTCTTAGTTTGTGGAGGTTTCTGTGCAGAATCAGCTGACTCCAAGGCAGCGTGGTATCCCAGAGGAGAGGGGTATCCTAAAGGAGAAACAGTTCCCAGGGCAGAAGACAGCAAAATCAACAACTGAACCTTAACAGTGCCTTTCTGCCCCTTTTATACTCTAAGCTGTTGGGGTTAGGGCAGTGCCAAACCAATCAATAAACTGATCACACACACTTCATCTCAGCATCATACACTCTAGACTCAGCCACTTCTGAAAAGCCCCCCAACAACTGCATGAGGCTTTGGGGGACACCTAGACACAAACCATAATGGCTACCCAGTGAGTTCAAGGCTAGCCTATTCTAGCAAGCAAGGCCCTGTCTTGAAAAAACAACAAAAAAGGCTATTGTCAAATTGACAGTTGAAGTTGCCTCTTTTACACACACACACACACACACACACACACACACACACACACACACACAATGTATAAGTATCCACAGAGATTGTTAATAGTAGAATTTAAAAGAAAATATTGCTTTTTCCCCAGGTCAATTAAGGCATCCCAGAGCTTTTATTCATGTGACATCAAATTGAAGAAAGGGATTTATCCTGCCATCAAACTATACCTACAACCAATATTTATCCAAAACCCAGAAACAGGGTTTATAGTATTTAGAGTATCATGCACAGTGATCAAAAGTGGGAAGTAGTGCATTCCTTCTGTTTTCAGTCATTTATTTTCCACTATATTAGTAAGAACTTAAGCAAATATTTATGGTATTTTGGAATCAGGTGGACCGAGCTAAGCATGTTTTATCATCATAGCTTCACATTTGCTGTTTCTATTATAGCAGTAATCAATCCTACCCCCAGTTTTAAGAGAAAGGTTCAGTGATCAATCCTATACTTAGTAGTAAGTGAAAGATCCGTAATTCGTATGAGAAGAATAAAGAGATGTATGAGTGACTTCTGATGTGTGGAAATAAAAGAGCTCAAACATAGCAATGCATATAGCAATGCAAGAACACTTATGAAATCACAGACAAGGTGTAAAGACTCAACTCTTTGAAGGCAACATGCTTACGAGTAGTATTTTCTTTTTTAGAGTTAGCAAGAGAACTGGATTTCACTGAGGAGCAAATTCATCAAATTCGAGTCGAGAACCCCAACTCCCTTCAAGACCAGAGCCATGCTCTATTGAAGTACTGGCTGGAAAGGGATGGGAAACACGCCACAGGTGGGTGCAGAACTCTGAGCGGAAGGTATTACACTAAAGGGAAAATCTGTTATCTTGTTCAAACAGCCCCATTCTTGTAAATTAGATGAAAATATAAACTAAAAAAATGCCATCAATTGGAAGTGCTCCCATCATTGAGTGAGAACAAGATGTTGCTAGATTTCTAGAATAAACATGTGTGCAAAGTCTTGCACCATATGCCTATGGACAGCGTTAGTCATTGGGAAACAATGGCAGCACTAGATACCAATGGGAACATTGTTCAGGTCTTTAATTTTTCTTCATAATAGTTAATGGACATTTATGCCATTTCTTTTTCCCCCCTTTTTTATTACTAGGAAAGAACACTGAGCTATATCCCAACCCTTCTTATTTTGAGACGGGGTCTTGCTAAATTATTAAATTTCCCAGGCTGGGCTCAAATTTGTGATCCTCATGACTTAACCTCCCAGAGTACTGGGATTACAAGCATGCACCATCATGGCCAGCTTTGCCATTGATATATTGGTAGTGCTGTACCCTCAGTTCCTATTTTCTTTACTCCTAAATATCTTAAGTGGCAGAAAAATATCAAGTAGATTGTCAGTGTATGTGATATTCTGACCACATGGGATATACTAGGCAATGAGATGACCAGAGCTGCTGCTTGTCCCTCTGCTGGTCTTGAATTCCCCACCTCCTGCAGCATCACCCCAGAGAGCCACCTTGAGACCTCTATACTTATTCTTTCTCTCTGTATTTTATTTAGTAGCAGTGTCACATTTAGCAAATATAAGCAGAAGAAGGGCACATAGTTAAATTTAAATTACAGATAAGCAACCTATACTTCTTAGCAAAAATATGTGCCATACAATATTTGGTATGTACTTATACGAAAAAAGTATTGCTTTTTTAAGGCTGAAATTCACATTTTACTGGATGTCCTATATGTATCTGGCACCTCTACTTTTAGGGCTTGTGCCCACTCTGTACCATTTTTTATTCTTGTCACTGTGTATTTTTGGCTTCTCTTAGTAAACACCCTTAGTGAGACTTTGGCTGCTTCCTGTTAGCTATCACAAATTTAGCTCAGTAGCTGAATGAAAGATTTCACGAAAGAGGATTTCTCAGCTATAACCAGTGCTCTGTCCCTAATGCCTCAGATACCAGCCTCATCGAATGTCTCACCAAGATCAACCGAATGGACATTGTCCACCTCATGGAGACCAGCACAGAGCCAGTTCAGGAGCGCATCAGCCACAGCTATGCAGAAATCGAGCAGACCATTACACTGGACCACAGTGAAGGTCATCTCTCTCTCTCTCTCTCTCTCTCTCTCTCTCTCTCTCTCTCTCTCTCTCTCCCCCTCTGTGTGTGTGTGTGTGTGTGTGTGTGTGTGTGTGTGTACCTGAGCTTGGAGTTCATTTGGAGATGGACCAACCATCTGTTTTTAGAAGGTAGATGGTGCCCTTTGGTGATCATAATTTGTTTGCTTGCTACCACACTTTCCTGCCTGTCTTGTAGCTGTCCCTACTGCTCGTCCCTGTTATTTCACCATCAGCATGAGTGACTCACCCATTTCCTTTTTTTCAATTCCTCAGTGGTGCTTATGACACTTGCGAGGTTTATTCTGTGTGAGTCACTGACTTCTGCACTCACCGCTAGCGCTGTCTCGTTGCAATCGCTACACTACTTCCTGCAGGACACTAATTGGAGGATTACCCTTTCTCTTACTTTTCCAACAATTCTTCAGGCTTTCTGTATTCTCCAGCCTCTCCTTTTCAGTATGAAAGGTTTTTTCACAGATTCCCATTGTGTGCTCACTCTCTCTCATCTCTATTTAACATCTTTTCTCCTTCCTTCAAAATACCAACATTTCTCTATTCCTGTTCATTTCCAGCTTCATATTTCTTAGAATTATGAGCAAATGCCCATGTTTTTCTACAAAATCTCCTGAGATGAGTGTGTCTCAGGACCTACACTCTGCCTTCCTTCTGTTACAGTGGATTGAATGTCCTTGCTTTGCCAAAGCCATCATTTCTTTTGTCCTGGATTTCATCCTCTTTCACCAATCAAGGACCTCACTCCCGCAAGTATCCTACAACTGCAGCAGGCTCAGTAGTGCTTTAATAAGTTCCTGGCAAAATAGCTCCTTCCATTCTCTATTCCCCAAGATTCTGTTCTGCTTTCCTATTCATTTTGTAGGAAGCTACTTCAGAAGAGTAGCTTGGGTTTCCTGTCTGTATGTCTTATCTTTCTGTTCACTCCAGACCGATCTCTGTAATTTACTCCAGTCTGTGTTGTTGGCAACTGTTTCCTTGTTACCAAAATCAAGGGGTGAGGTTTTAAATGTTCAGATTACTCAAAACACTTGCAGAAATAATCCCATCTTCTTAAATGTTTTATTTCTTTACTCCTACACACCCTCTCATTTCCTTTTGGTTCTGCTTTCTTCGTCTCTTTTCAGTGGCATCTTACTTCTTGTAGGTCTAAGTGACAGTGCATATTAGTGTGCAGCAGAAGCGCTGCAGCTCTAGTCCATGTCCCTCCCTCTCTCTAGGCACAGAAGCTGGGCCTCTTTGCCCTTCCCTTAACTCTGCTGCATCCTCATGCCTCGGTCCCTTCTGACCTGCAACTTTCTTCCCTTAGATCCATCGAACATTTTTCTCCCAATTTCTTCAAGTTACTACTCAGATATCACCTCTTAAGCCTTTCTAGATGGTTTATCTGAAATACTAGCCTGGTTGCCTTTTCTCCCAACCATTATCATAAACACACATCTATGGAAACAGAAGTTGAGTAAAGAGAAAAGTTTTTCTCCCTTGTTCATTGTTATCTATCCAGCATCTAAACAGCACCTACCACATAGTTGGTGCTTAATGCGTATCTGTTGAGGAAATAAATAAGGAGTGAATGTCGTTCACTTCTCTACTAAAATCCTTTATGATACCTTCTTGCCCTGGATACAGTTAGATTTCTTAGCCTGGCATATGAAACTCTATATGAAAAGTTCATTGATTACAAAGTTTTGTGGTAAGGATTGAACAAATTAATACTGACAAGGCACATGGTAGCTATTCAGAATTTGTTCAGTGTTTATTATTATTCTTGATCTCCCTTGTATGTGATACCATGGCCATCAAAGGGGGTACCTAATTATCTTTAGCTCTCCTGAAACATTGCATCCCCTGCAGTTCCTTTATTTTTATTTTTTAACTTTGTGTGTGTGTGTGTGTGTGTGTGTGTGTGTGGAACCAGGGATTGGACTCGGGCCCTTGTGCTTGCTAGGGAAGTGCTTATTCCACTGAGCCATCTCCCTGGCCCCCTGCAGTTCCTTTCTAAATTCCTTAATACTAAGGATGGTGTCCCATGTCCACTCCTAGGTGCCTGAGGCCCCATCCCCTGTATTTGAACTGACTCCTATTCTGGGGACCAGCATCCTGAAGGGATGTTTGGTATCTTCACATTTCTAACCCATGGACCCATCTCAGGACTTGGCAAAGGACAGCTGCTTACTAAACATGCACATGACATAGGTGAGCTTCCATTAAAAACTCAGTTGAGGTCACTGTCCTCCCACAGGGTTCTCAATACTTCCGGAGGAGCTCTGCACCTCACAGCACAAGCAGCAGCGAGAGGAGCAAGCTGTTTCCAAAGAGCCCGAGGCTGCCGATCATCCTCCCATCGTCTCTGAGGAAGATATTTCTGTGGGTTACTCCACTTTCCAGGATTGTGTCCCCAAAACTGAGGGAGACAGCTCTGCAGCAGTTCTACCTGCCCAGATGCACCAAGAGCAAGCTCAACAAGATTTCTCAGGAAAAGCGCAGGACCTGCCTGATGACCAGCAGGAATACTTGTGAGTTCCAAATGTGGTTTCCAGGAAGCAGCCCAGAGGGCCTGGCATACACTGGCAGGGCCAGTTTTATTTATTTTTATTTTTATTTTTATGTATTTGGTACAGGGTCTACAGGGTCCCACTATGTAGATCAGACTTACAGTGATTCTCCTGTTTTCAGCCTCCCAAGCATTGGGATTACAGGTGCACGCCACCATGCCCAGTCTCAACAGCCATCTCCGTGCACCACAGGAGTGGGGATGGAACCAG